TCTGTCTGAAGGTTCGTCAGGTGGTCTGTCCGGCGGTCTGTCTGCTGTAGCGTTGACCCGTCTCTGTCTGTCTGCAGCAGCACATCATCGACCCGGTGAGGAAAGCCCTGGACTATTACACTGAGATGGACAAAGCTCTGGGCAGGCAGCAACCCAAGACTGCGGCCAGAACCAGACCAGAACCCAGTAAACCAGAGACGTCGTGACCTGGCCTGAAGAACCGAACCGCTCTGAGTTTCTGCATGTGGATGTGAATTTGATTCTTTATTTCTTCTTCTGTGGTATTGTAGTTTGTGCCCCTCAGCCGCTCTCCTTCATTTCTTCCCTAAAAATGTCCCGTTTATTTATATTTTTACTGTTATTTTCTGTTTTCTTTACTATTGTAATAAATAAATTTCTTCCATGACGTGAATATTTAAGTGAACTAACGATTGTAAAGCAGCAGAGTCGCCTTTGGTTTTGCTTCCTGTAGTTTTGTGCATGTTTTCTGTTTACTTCTCAGATAGTGGGCGTGACAAGCAGGACTTTATAATGTCTTCATTCATGATAAACAAGCCTCGGCCACCGGATGTTTTACAGTTACCATGTACCTACCGTCATGGAGGACAAGTCTGACCGGGAGCAGAGGTCAGTAAAGCAAGGGACTGAGTTTTATGGCCAGGCTGAGAGATTTTTATTTTCAAATACAAGAATACAGTCATAATGCTACGAGAACCAAGTCGTATTAGCAGAATAATTTAAATATTGGCAGAAGAAAGTCGTTAAATTAGAAAGCTTTGATAGCGAGTCTGGTTCTTTCTGTTAAATAAAAAGTTGTTTAAACATCATTTCAAAGTCCTGGGGCTGAAAATTTGCTTCTGATTTGCTAAAACATTTAATACTTAGTCATTTGTTAAACAGTACCAAGTATAACCTTACAAGATCCTCAGTATGGTGAAAAGTTATAAAACTACGACTTTATTCTCATCCAACTTTACTTGTATTTAAAACAAATCAAAAACTCAGAGCTCTTATACTCCATCATAAGCAAGTAACTTCAGAAAAAGGCCAAGGAATAGAGGAGACCGACGTTTTTATTGTTAAAGCAAAAATATTATGCACTTTTCATCTCTTCTCATCTGACAAGCTGGAATATAAAGCAATTTTGCTGCAATTTTTCCACAATAAATATTAAAAAGAGCTTTGGGGGGTGTCAGAAAATAATTGACAGAAATCCTTGTTTTTAACGCGAAAAGATCCGCCGACATTCAGATGCTGGTCGGGCTCCTGGACAGCAGGGGGCGCTATGATTATTAAAAACACTGGAGTAAAGTTTTGAGTTTTCCATCTTGTTAAAGTTAAACGGTGCCAAGCTGGCAGTGGAGTCATCATGCTGTGGGTCAGACGTTGCAGCTTCAGCAGCTGGTTGGTCTGTTTGTAGTTCAGCCGTGATGAACCTGCAGTAACTTTTCTGCTGCTGTCTCACAATATTTCTGCTCAGAAAATAGAATAAAATCAGTTAATTTCTACTGAAATCAGGAGTTTTGATTCTGCTGAGGTTTAATCCCAGACTGCAACTTTCCTGATGCATGCTGGGAAATATCCAATAGGGAGCCCACGCCCCCTGCTAACCCCTAGGGGGCGCCACTGACTGCAACAGCTGCGTTTGTTCCTCTTGCAGCGCCTCACTCAGTGACCTTTAATGACCCCAAAGGCCACCGATGTAAGAGGAGGAGGTGGACAGAGGCTCTGGATTCTAAGTTTGTTCTAATTTCTCTTTTGGGTTGCAATAATATTAGTCTCTCTGCATCTAAATACTGAATACAGTTTCTTACAAAATAAAATAAAAAAGGAAAGGAGTTGAAGTGAGAGAGAGGCTAAAAGCCAGCCACACTTTTCAGCGTGTTTCAGCTGAAGCCGTGTTATCTAAGGGTGTGAATACTTCTGGGTTCTGCTGCAGATCTTCACACATTCATTTTTACTGAAACGTTTTATTTGCTCTGACTGAAAATTACAGGAACATAAATGTGGAAATAAAGTAATTCAGACTAAATTACAGACTATGACGTCATTTTTATGTTTGTTTCGTCGTTTCCATGTTAATGAATCAGCCAGATCAGGTGACCGGAGGTCCACCTGCAGGGGAAGGGGCGTGTTTCCGTCCTGCACTGTGATTGGTTGTGGTTCGGTAAACTCCGGCCGGTTCCGGCGGCCCCGCCCCCTGCGCCGAACAGCGCTGCTCGGCGCAGAGGAAGCCCAGAAAGAGGCTCGAGTCCCGGGAGGCGAGCTGCAGACATGGACCCGCTGGCGGCTGCCATTGACCAGGGAACCAGCTCCACCAGGTTCCTGGTGAGTGGACCGAACCGACCCGGACCGAACTGTGGTTTCATTCTGGAAAGGTTTTACAGCAGATTCTGCTGCTTTTAAAGTTTCTGTTTCATTCATTTACTGTTCATGACGTCAGTAGTGATCGCTGCTACTGGTTAATCATTCCTGGTCCACTCCGCTCCTCTGGACCAGCAGAACCAGAACCGGGTCAGAAAACTTAATAGTAATTATAAAACCACGTTTGAAATAAAAATGCATTGTTAGATATCAGCAATACAAAGGCAGCATATTTATTTTTGCAGCGCTGATTCACATCCAATATCATCTTTATACTAGTTTAAAAAGTTTCTATCGAATGAAACCCAGCAGAGCATCACTCCTCCTTACCAGCAGGGGGCGACAGTGGAGAGGAAAACTCCCCGTCACAGGAAGAAACCAGAAGAAGAACCAGATCCAGATCTTTACCAGCAGGTCTGGAGGTTACAACAGAACTGAACCAGGACAGCTTTCTATGTTAGAGTAAAACTTTTGGCAGCAGGAGAGGAGAAAGATCAGGTGATGGCAGCAACATGTCAGCTGATGCCCCGCCTCCAGGAAGGAACCAGCCAATCAGAATGCAGACCAGGTGGAGCTCCTATTGCTGGGTTTCAGTCATGTGACCCGGATGACGTGCGAAATTCAGATGGAGGTCAGGAAGTGGATTTCTCCAGTTCAAAACAAAGCAAAATGGACCACAGCGAGTAGCTAATGCGCTAAA